TGAGCAAACAAATTGTTGAAAGTTGGATGCCATATGACTTGCTGACTGGTCATTTTGTTCTGGTGGATTAGGAATGGAGCAGGTTCTTTTCCACACATCAATAAGTGACGATTCCTGCAAATGAGACAAGCATAATGAATTGATGGAAACTTTGCCTTTTTTTTATCAATTTTACTCTTCTCTCTTGGTAATCAAGATCATACCTCATCACAAAACAATGTTGTTCCTGCAAATGATTTTTGAACTGCAAATCTTTTCTATTAAATATATTGAACAAAGGGTTTCCAGTTATGAAGTAAAGTAACCAGTGTAATGTTGCCAACTCCAAGTATCACAAGCAGGGCCAAGGAGGTGATCCTCCCCCTCTATGCAACACTGGTCAGGCCGCAGCTGGAGTACTGCGTCCAGTTCTGGGCGTCGCACTTCAGGAGGGATGTGGACAGCAGTGAGCGGGTCCAAAGGAGGGCCACTCGCATGATCCAGGGACAGCAGGGCAGACCCTATCAGAAGAGGCTACAGGACTTTAACCTGTTCAGCCTTCGCAAGAGAAGGCTGAGGGGGGACCTGGTGGCCACCTATAAACTTACTAGGGGGAACCAGTGGGGTTTGGGAGAGACCTTGTTCCCCTGAGCACTTCCCGGAGTAACAAGGAATAACAGCCATAAGTTGCTAGAGAGTAGGTTTAGACTAGACATTAGAAGGCACTACTTCACAGTTAGGGCGGCTAGGATCTGGAACCAACTTCCAAGGAAAGCGGTGATGGCTCCTACCCTGGGGGTCTGTAAGAGGAGGCTCGATGTTTACCTGGCTGGAGTCATTTGAGCCCAGTTTTCTCTCCTGCCCACGGAGGGGGTCAGACTAGAAGATCTACAAGGTCCCTTCCAACCCTACATCTATGAATCTATGAAAGTATTCAAAATTATGTCAGGTCTCCAAAAATATGAGATTAGCTTAAAAGTAATTATATTTTCTTCACTTTGAGGTCCTTATATTTACCTTCTCCCCCCACCACCACTTTTAGGGTTCACAGTTCCTTTCCCCCCACTCATGCAATGTAAAAACTTAAATGTCTCACTTTATGTGAATATCCCAAGTTTCATTTAATATTGTGATTTCAGGAGTGTCAAGAACAGTAACTGTGTCTGGCATAGCATGGAGCTGGGCCCCACCTGCTCACCCAGGTCCTCTAATGTAGTCCAGAGTTACCAGCTCAACAATGAGGCTGCTTCAGGCCCCTCAGTCTACAGGAGGCCTAGGACAGGCCCCACATGCTAACTTCAAGAGTAGATTGGAACCTGGGTGGGGCATACTCATCCTTCCCTCAACCTGCCACTGTTGGGGTATAGACAACCCCAAAGTTGCCATGACATATCCCTTTACCATATGTTTAACTTGTGAATAGAAGCATCTTGTTCCCAGCTGTATCTCATATTCTTAAGAAGCCGAGGGAACACTGAAAGCAGGGTAGAGTTGCACTTTATAGACTAAATCCAAAAAGCATAAGCTTTTGTAAGCAACAGCTTACTTCATCAGATGCTATGAGTGGACACAGCAGTTGTCACCTAATAGGTCTATTCCCATGCTTAGTAACTATATTTAAAAATGTATACAGTAACAGTCCATACTGCACTGTGCCGTCTGTGCACAGTTATTTTTGGTCACTATGTCGCTGTAGCAACACACTATAATGAAGGAGCACATTGCTACAGCGACATAGCATCACAGTTTTTGCCAATGGACACTACAGTGCCATAAGTGTGTTACTACAGTGCTGCAGCATCTTGTGTAGATGCACCCTTAGTTCATCCCGAATTGAGGCATAGTGCATTTTTGAAACTGCTGCAAGTTTTAGTACAACTACTCCATAAACACACTTTTAAGCATAACTTTTGTGCCTATTTATATGTAGTACAAACTATACATAATATTAGTCCAAAGCCAAAAGGCTCATGATTTACCATATAGTACACTGGGTTGGACCCCAGCAGAGTCAATAGCATGTCAAGTCATGGTGACCCCACAGCTCAGTACTGCTGACTGTGTGTGTATGAACTACAAATACCACCCCCTAACAAAGGATCCATGTTCCCCTACTTATGATTGAACCTGGGTGTTCTTCTCACAAGTCCTGGGATGCTCCAAAAAATTGTATGCAGATGAGACACAGGGCAGCTTTATATAGCTCCATCTCATGGTGGGCTGAGCCACACTAATCGTAAGTGACAGACTGGGAGGGGGACCAACAGAAGGATTATGGGCAAACTGTTTGGGGCTGAATTTGGTAATGTTTGCCAGACATTTAAGGCTGGTGAAGAAACAGGAATCATTGGAACTGGGAAAGAAAGATGCAGCTTAACTGTGGGATGGAAAAGGAAGTTGACATGTATTCTGTGTGGTGGCTCACCATGACTTGCAAGAGAGTCAGCACTGAGAGGGACTGTGCTCAATGGGCACTACCATATATTTTATACAGATGGACTTTATATTTATGGTAGGTTCCCATCGGCATCTTCCATCTTTTGGCTAAGATCAAGAATTTTTGGCACCAAGGGGAGGGTATCAGGGCTGGTTCTGGCATCTCAGTACCAGCCTGGTATTGCAGTACCTCCAGACTTAATACCAGTTTTCTCCTGGGGGAGCAACTGCCTGTTGTTTTTAAGGGCCACACAGAAAAATAAAAAAGGTTCCCAACAGCATGTTTGCCCCATATGGGTCATGTGTTTTATAGTCATGCTCATCGGCTGCATTTAAAACAACTTCATAGTTGGTTTCCATGGCTGGGCACATGCTGCATTTGGCAGCAGCTTAATGATAGACAGTGTATTTGATGAGATTTCCTTGTATGTGAATAAAAGACAAGGGGGGCGTTTCCCTGTTCTGTATGGAGGAAGACACCTCATCTTGTATTCAAGTAAATACAGTCATTATAATTTGGAAAACACGGAGCCAGTATTCAATGGATTTGATGGTGCAGAACTCAGGATAAAAGTTGGTCATATGTTTTCAATTTTACAGGTCAGAGAAGACACATAGTGTGAAATATGATATGAGGATTTGTGATGTCTGTTGTGGAGCTAGGAGGTGTTTCTGAAAAAATGCACTTGAGGCAACTAAGTATATACTCAGGAGGTAGTGGCCGATTCACTAAGAGGACACCTTAGCCCACATTCTTCCTGACCAAAATGGAGAGCAGTACTTAGCTGAAGATTGTATTGTGTCGGTTTCATAACATGCACAAGAATTACTCATATGAAGTGTAATAGGACATAGAGTCAAATTTGGGTCCCATTGTGGTCTTTATGAATTTTGCCCGTTGACTGCAGTGGAGTCAGAATTTGGCCTTTTCCAGCTCTAGTCCAAAGCATGGTAAATGAGACAACATCTAAACCTCAGCTCCAGTGGGACTTCAGGGATATAATTGAAGGTATTATTTTGCTCCATCATGCCTTACAGTCTTGTTCCACACCCACTCATTTCATTTCATTCAAATTACTGATTGCAAGAAGCACTAGAAAGCACTTGCACATTATTGTGAAATTGCATTTTCTTAGCCATAGCTGCATTTGAAATCATAATTATCCCACTTCTTCACTGTCCAAACACCATTATATTTTAGATGCTCTCTTAAAACTCGATCATGTTGTGACAGCAACACAGGGGGGAAAAAACTAACTGATATTCAATATGTGTTAAATGAGTAACTGACAGTATCTCCCCACACAAAATGTTTGGGTGATCTTGTGTCTGTATACCAGAGAAGACCAATAGTACCAAAATCGGTTAGCTCAATAATTCAATTAAGCTTCCCTTGTATTCACTATAAACATTTTTATTTTTCAAGCAGTATTACAAGGCACAGAATACATATCTCTTCCCCCCCGGCCGTTTCCTTCATTCTTTAGCCTGAATTTTACCCTTTTCTTCTTTCTGTCTTTCTAGCAGCATTATGTTTTCTTTCATTTGGAAACTTGGAAGCATTTCCCAGTAAAGCTGGTGCCAGTAGCACTGCATGAATCATCTTTAGGAATTATGAATCACTGTAGCTGTCCTCCTTCCCAACCTCATTCAAACTGAAAATATCATCACACCCAGTGTCCCCCAGCCTCTACATTCATGATTCATATCTGTTCCTAAAATCAATACTCCTATAAATAACAGAGGACTATGATTCAGCTTCATGACTGGGTACCCCAATAAATACAGTAAACTTAAATGTGCCGTGCCAACAGAATGTACTATATCTCTTTAACTACCTTTTTGACTTCTGCATCATTTCTCTTTTTTCCCCCCGGATTCCATCCGCGAGCTGGAGGTGCTGCATTTGCAACGCAAAGTACCAAGTAATGGTTAATTTGGGAGCTAAAGCCTTTAGCTGTGTGATAAGAATAGCACAGCCAGATTTTTTTTTTAAATACAATCCCTGTAATTTAGTTATTTGCACTCTGACCATGTAGAGAGCCCAGGCGCACCAAGAGTATAAAGACACAGACAGTGAAGTCATGCCTTGCAGCTGGAATTTTATTAAATACTGTTTTGTTTGATTTGCTTTCAGCCTGAACAACCATCATCAAACAAGTGGCAACTGGATAAATGGCTAAATAAAGTTAATCCTCACAAAACGCCTATTCTTAGCCAAAATGATAACCATGGACTGGAGAGTAATCAGTATTACAGCAGGATAAAGGAGGAAGGACGGGAGTGTGAGACATTACCAGATATTTGCCAAACAGACCTCAGAGACAAAGAAATTAAGAATGCCAGCAAAGAGGAGCTGAGGCCTAGAACTGCTAATAAAGCACCAGGCAATAAAGGAGGGAAGCAGAAATCATCTCCCGCTGCTGTTGCTGCTGCTTCTGGAGACGGCGGTCCTCAGAGAAAGCCAATCTGCAAAAAACAGCCAAGAAGGACAGAGAAGACCTCTGGTGGAGATGCTTTGAACTGCCATACATCTGAGGATCTCACCCTGAGCCAAGGATTTTTAGAAAATAACATCTGTGAGCAACCTAAAGCCAGGCCCTGCAGCAACAGAACTGGGCACAGGAAAGAGCCCCGCTCTGTCACTACATGCGAAAAGAGACGTACCCGGGGGCCAAGCAAAACAGCACCTAAATCCAGGGAATTTATCGAGACAGAGTCTTCATCATCCTCCTCTTCCTCCGATTCAGATTCAGAATCCGAACAAGAGGAATATTCTCTCCCTAAACCTCAGACTGTGGCCTCTGCTTCAGCTGGAAATGACCAGAGGTTGAAGGACTCTGGGAGCAGTAACTCCAACAAAACCAACAGCAGCTGTAGTGCCTTTGGCTCCATTAATGCCAGGACTAGTAATGAAATAGCAAAGGAGCTGGAGGAACAATTTTACACCCTGGTTCCTTTTGGTAGGAATGAGCTCCTGTCTCCTCTGAAAGACAGTGATGAGGTAAAATCACTGTGGGTCAAAATTGATTTGACTCTTTTGTCCAGGATTCCAGAGCGTTCACCTGAGGAGCCGTTGGCAATGAGCACTGGAGCAAAAGAAGTAGCCAGCATTCACCAGAATAACAGTATTGACCCACCAGCGGAAAAGGTTTTACCAAAATCTAGAAGGAAACGCAAGGTAGGCTTTCTGGCTTTTTCAGATTACGTAGGAACTTCAGGGGGAAATTGCATAGTATTTATTGTGTTTTTCTGCCTTGTCCTGATATATCGATTAGCCAAACAGTGCACTTGATATATGTATCCTGCATTTAATAGTAATATCCCATTTGAATTGAAATTTTGAAGTGATGTTTCATGACCACTCACTCCTCAACTGTGTGTGTGTTTTTGACCCAAACAATCATTCAAGCGCTGGGGGGGAATAGTCTAGAGCAGTATTACCCTAGAGTCAGCGCCTCATATGACAGCATTTTCTGTTGGCACTCTTGTCTCTTTCCTTCCTCATAAAAATGGCACCTTTGCTATTTTTGGCCCCCAGAATCTAAGCATCTGGAGGTGATGCTTCTGTCTTAAAGTGGAGTGGGCGTCGTCTAGTCAAAGTCAATGTCATGTTTCATTAGCTCTTTATATGGAAGAAAGGCAGAAGAGCAAGCCACTATGTCCCTCTCGAGATGCAAATAAAGCCCTCCCAGCCCAGATATCCCTGTGACTTCACTGAGAAACTTCTTTTATGGGAGCTTGTGAGTTCATGATCCATTTGGGGTCTACAACTTCCCTCTGTTACAACAGCGCAACCTCTTTAACCAAGGGCATTGTACCTATATAACTGAGGTCATAATTTAGCCCCAGGCTTGCTCTACATGCACTAGTGCTATCCAATTGGGGTGGGGTGAGAGCATGGCAGCTCTCTAGTCACCTCCAACTTGCAAAATAACTGCTCTTCCTTCTGCCTTTCTGCCCCCAGCACAGCCTCATATATATTCCTTTTGCTGCAGAGGGGCATCTGCTTTACATCAGTTAAAGCAGCTTCACTGTGCCTTTATTTATGTCAATGTCAATCTGAACCCTGGAGCAGAGGCATATCAAGTGCCTGGAGCAGGGGACGGAGGGGGAAATGTGCTGAACATTTGGCAGTGGGGCAGAAGGAAAGGTGGGGGAGGGAGAGGAGTCTTACCTGCCTCAGCTTTCCTCACTTGGGCAGCAACGTTACCTGCCCTGGCTGTCCCAACTCCTGCTGCTCCCCACATCTTTACAGGACACAGGGATGTGCCTCCTATGACTAAGCCTCCTGGATGGTGGGTGTTTCCTTCCACCCCACAGGCCCTCAGAGAAATGACTGGGCTTGGGGCTGTGCTTGCCTGGCAAAAACTTCTAGGGAAGAGGGCCATACTGGAAGCCCCTCTAAGTCAGTGCTCAAAACTGCTGCCCTACTTGTCCCCCACCTAGTTCTGCCTATGCATATACTGCCCTGGGTGCTTTCTAAACATAGTGTGGTCATGATAGAGAGCTCCTCCCAGTGTTCATAATTTCAAAATTATATGCAGTTGGTCCAGTAAAAGATATCACCCAAATAACTCCTCTCTCACATATTCCCAAATCACCATGGCTGCAACATCACTCCAACGCTGCCATAATTTCAAAGGAATTTGTCTGTATACATTGGCCAGGAATTAGTATGCAATGTAGCAATTGTACAGTGCACAGTGATGGGAGAGAAA